CCCCAAAACCCCAAAACCCCAAAACCCCTTCAAAGTATTTTATAAAAGCAAAGAATAATTCAGAAAAAGTATGTATTTCAAATATAAGGACTAGAATAGAGAAATTAATAACCCTGTTGATTGAATTATTGATTAGAAAGATAGGCCTTTGATAAATTTACATTAGGCTTCAATCAAATGATTTCAATGATGTTCTCTGTCAAGGTCATCATCATCTTCCTCAATACTGCTGAGATCATCTCGATCTTGACTAATTTACTACTAAGGAGAGAAGTTGTTCTCAACATTTATAAATTAAGGTCCCTAAACTTCAAAACCCTGAGATTGGATGTTATAGTCTGTGTATTCATTGAATCCTTGGAAGCCAGCTGAAGAGTTATAAGTTTATATTCCCTGACCTCCTGGTAGGTCTATTGCGGATATTCCATCAATGTTCTAATTAAAATTTTGTCTTGACTGGGGACTTTAGAATTAGTAATTATCTTGTTCATAATAATGATCTACTGGAGGTTAGCTAAAAACATCATCTCCACCATTATTAATAGTCATTGTATTTGATTGCATCACGAATCCTTAATTTGCCTATCTTATAATATTAGCTCGTATTTAGTTTAAAGGTGGCCTTTACACATACTGCATTGCATCACTACGATGCATCATCATTTATCTCTTACTTTCTTCATCATCCTGCAATTGCAAACTATTTTGGTCTTAATAGGGTCTCATGAATCCATTAGCAGAATTGATAAAGGCATTCTTTGTTTTATTATTGTTGAAATTTTCACTAGTGAGATTTTTAACAATCTAAGGACTCATATTTTCTTTTCCAAACTTTCCAAATCCACCAGCTGTATTCTTACCCAAATTATTTGAATAAAAACTCATGAATTAAGAATCAGAGTACCTTTTAACCTGCATATTAGGAGTAACATCTTTAAGTTCAAATTTACCCTCACAGTTATACGGGCATTTCGCTATAAATTTATCTATATTTCTTTCTCTTTCCAATTACTCATCTGCACAGAAATGACACATATAGTTAAAGCAGCATTAACTCACAAGAATGTGGTTAAAGTATCTCAGACATACTGGACAATAGTATTTGAAATTATAGCGAACTTGCCTGTCTTAGGGGACAAAGTCACAGCACTCAATGTCTTCGAGTTTGTGCTAGGTCTCTATGAATATGTTGGGTTATTTTTTAGGCAACTGTAAAGGCTGGTAATTGTGATGAGATGTGTTAACAATCAGATTTTACTAGGACATCATACTATTATTCTACTCAAATCCATTACCCAATGGTCTTCGGGCATCATTCTACCTATTATTATTTCCAGGATTCCTATTTGAAGAATGGTCCTACGATCTCGACTATAATTACCTGCTTCCTCTGGAGCTATGCTAACTAGTCTCAGGGTGAACCTCGTTCTAAAAAGTAGAAGCTCGTTCTTCATAGTTAGAAGGCTGCTTAGTTTGACAGCATTTAAGAAAACTTAAACATGAGCTCTTCTTTTTTTGACTCATTTTATTAATTCAAATTAAATTAATTCAAACAAGTAATTTTAGAAATAATTTATCAGGAACTATTCTCTCTCATTTTATTAATTAAAGTATTATCACTATTTTGAAAATTAGCTAAAATTTAAAAATTAACTTTTAATATAGTTTTCAACTGAAATGAACGATTTCAAGCTAAAATCATCTTTGAATCAGAACAAGATCTAATCAATATCATAGCGATATTAAACAAATCTTTAATCACCTAAATCTTCATACATCAAACCTTAAACACTCTAATAATCTGCAGTATTCTAGAACTTAACTAACAATACTACAGTCCACTAAGAGGAGCCATCATTTATTCCTCAATAAAACAATAGTTCAACGGATTACATCAACTTGTGGAAAGACTTCAGAAATGACATTCGCAAAAAGCTAGAAACTACCACCAATGTTTAGAAGAACCCTCTGACTTCAAGATCTAAAACAAGAGACATTTCTTAGACAAAAACTAATGAACAGGATTAAAACTCCTATCGCGAATCAACCATTAAGAATAGTTTTGTTAGCAATTCTAATAATAAGTCTACTATTTTGAATAAGCAGAATAATGATCAGTTTAACTATAGCTAAAGGATAGCTTAATTTTAGCCAGAGAATAATGAAAATAAGTTAGAGTATGATTTAAAGAGGGCAAGTAAGATTCAAGACATTTTTTAAAAGTATTTGAAAGAAGACCCGATTGAGAAGCAAAAACCCAACGCTGACTAGAGTTAAACAAGAATATAGAACTAGTCTTATCTTAGATAATCACCAGCAAGACTTAATAATGGAAAATCTAGACAATCGTCTATAATCAACAAGTACTATCATTCAGCTTTATAATTCATATAGGAGTCCAATCAATAAAATAAGAGAAAAGTCAGCATAATCGAATTAGCATAATTAAAGCAATTTGGTGGACAATAAGTAGCTTTCTTTTAGAGAGAAATTCCTTGAAAAGAAAAATGAGAGAGATTCTTTGAATCCAGGAAGTTTAGTATCAAGTCAAAACAATAGAAACTATCACAACCATAATGTGTCAAACAGTACCCCATACACTCCTAAAAGATAAAACAACTTTGCTTAAAATAATTTATATGACTCAGTGAACTAAACTGTAATTTCTTAGTAATCACCAATAACGTAAGAACTTTAATAGATTATAAAACTTATAGTGGTAGAAACTTAATGAAAGCTCTAGAGTAAAAAGCTCATTAAACTCAATTAATCTCACCTCCTGTTTAGGGATCGCATAGAAAATCTAACTTTAACTCCTCCATTGAAAATCTTAGCTAACTTTAGCAGCAAAAGTTATAGATAAACAACTTTAGCATGTAATAACCTTAGCCTACTAATAAATCGCCAAGAGTCTCATTCTCTATTAATCAATTCAGTAAATCATTTAGAAAGGAAGAAATTATGTCTCTAAGATAGGCTCTAGTTCATTTAAATGAGGATGAAGCTGAAGGTCTGCCATTTGGTCTCACTAATGAATTGCTAAAACTAGCAGATGCAATAAATGAGAAATTAGGAAAGTCAAGCCATAAAATGGTTCTTAACCATTTAAAATGAAGATTATGTTTTACTTTAACTCTATCTCGCTTTTACGGGGTTTTGGGGTTTTGGGGTTTTGGGG